GCCCCCCCCCCCGCTGCCCCCCCCCCCCCGGATGGCATCGTGCAGCAAGTGCAGCCGGGCTGATGGCAACAACCCCATGAGACGCACCAGCCTGCTCAGGGGCAGCTCTGGCTCCATGTGGCCGAGTGCTGTGGTGTCCCAAGTGCGGGCACTCAGGGCACTCCAAGACGGGACTTCTTTGCTGTCCCTCATTGAGGCAGACAAGCAAGCAGGGTACCCTGAGAACTGTCTGTCCGGGGTGGGGGTAGGGTCCCTTTAAGCATGGAGCTCAGTTAGCCTCAGGCAGCAGCCCCACACACTAAGTCCTAACCTGATGCCCTGCCGACACTGGTTCCGGCCAGCCTTAACTTTGGTTCAGGGTCCACTCAATGTGGACGTGCTATTTCAAAATAGCAAAAGGCTATTTCGAAATTGGTTTTGTGTGTAGATTTGTTAATTCGAGTTATCTTAATTCGAATTAAGTATTTCGAATTACGTTAACTCGAATTAACGCTGTAGAGCAGACATACCCTGTGTGTGTGTGTGTGTGTGTGTGTTTTGCTTCTCATTTGTGTGGTCTCCAACTAATTTTTCTGCGGGACAGTGACCCCTAACTCCAAAAAGATTCCCCACCCCTGCCATAAATAGACAGTGTTGAAACCTTTTGCGTTGGACATAATATTTTACTTCATTTAAAAATGAAGCCTGGCCAACAAGGCCCCAATTGGAGCCCTGCCCCCATCTGGCCACAGCATAACCCCTCCCCACACCCCAGCCTGAGCCTATCCTACCTGAACTCCCTGCACTGAGTCCCTCTTACCCCCACATCCCCAATCCCCTGCCATAACACTACTGCACCTCCCACCCTAGTTCTGGGCCCTGAGCCCATCATACACTCAACCTCCCAGCCCTGAGCACCTCATACATCCTAGCCCACATGCCTGCACCCCCACATCCCCAGCACCCTGCCATAAGATTGACAGAGACAGCTTGAATGCGTGCATGAAGCTGAATTTGACCAGTTATGATGTAAACTTCAAATAAATGTGCAGAAAGATGCAGCAGAAGAAGTCCCATTAAATAAAAGTCTGTGAGTACAATGTTTCATTTATGCTATTATTAATCAGTATGTCAACTATCAATATTACTAACTTGTATGTTTTCATTCATGCAAATGGGCATTCTTATATGGCTCTTTGTTGACTACTTGTTCTGAATTTTGATGTAGTTTGGGTCTTTGGTTTGAAAAGGCTGCTGACCCCTGGCCTATACTGTATTATTCTAATTCAAATGAGAAGATATGATAATACAGCTAGGTCAAATATCCCTCAGACATTTATTTTTACTTTTAGTGTTTTGCAATCAGAACACAGCTTTCTCAGAGCAAATTTGCAGGGTTCTTGTAATTCCACTACTCTGTGCCAACTTTGTGGGAAAAGAGCAAATTCTGTGCAACTCGAGTCAGCTTCAGATGTAGAATTCCAAATAACCAGTGAAAGTGTGAGTGTGTCTTAGTGGGTGTCTTAAACCCACACCCAATTAACTGCAGTAATATTTCACTTGTGGAATATCAGCCAAAAACTGAGATATTCACAGGTTTTATTTTAAGGACCTAATTAGGAGTGTTAAGAACAGCCACTTAAGGCTTATGGAAAAACCAAACATCTATCAGATTTATTGAGTGGTGGGAGGCAGGCAGAATAATTTTGTAAGATTTACTTTTTAAAACCATTTCTTTTCTTCCTCGCACTAGGATTTTTTCCCCTTTTTCTCCATTTTCTTTCTTGCTCCTATTTTTTCCTTGTGACCTTTCTTTTGTATGTAAAATGCACATTCAGAATTATTAATGAAAATCAAAACAGTCTCCAAAATGTACGAGAGTAGGAGAGGGGATAGGGGAAGGGGCTGCTGCCAGCCCTGCATACTATAAGATGTGTAGTAACAGCAAAAATCATAGTCACAGAGGCTTTTACACAGGGGTGGGCAATAATTTTTGCATTAGTCACAGAGGCTCTTACACAGGGGTGGGCAATAATTTTTGCAGGGAGGCCATTTAATTAATTTTGGTGCAAGGTCCCAGGCCAGCACCACCCCCAAAAGCGGAGGGATCTGGGGTGCAAGGGGTGAGACTGGGGACTAGATTCCCCCCAGAGTTGCATGAGCCAGAGACTTTCAATTAAAAACACAGCAAAGGGCTCATAGCTCTGCCGCTACTGTGTTGCCTGGCAGCTACCTGGAGTGGCTGTTTAAAAGGCTTGTGGCTTCAGCCCGTGATCTGGGTAGTGCCACAACTAGAAGCCATTAGCCATTTAAATAGGGTCCTGCTGCCTAAGCCACTGTCTGGAAATTTGGTGTCATGGGCAGCAGAATATAAATAGAAAGTGGCCAGATGTAGTACACGGGCCAGATCAAAGCATTAGGTGGGCTGGATCTGGCCCCTGGGCTGCTTCTTGCCCAGCCCTACTCTTACTGAATTCGTCATACCCTGAGGTAATTGCATTGGGGCCCCACTGTGGAAAGTGATATAGACACCCTTGATGAAATGGCAACTACTTCACTGAGGAATCTGTAACAAATTTTATACCTTACATTTAAGATGAGGGTATTTACCCAATTATTTTAAAAAAATCTTAACCCAGAGAAGGTAATAATACCTGAAACTCTTCCTTTAGTTACTTTTCTAATTTACCAGGCATTTCACAATCCAATATTGAATTCAATTTCTCTGTCCCTTCAAACATGAATAGTTGAGTTTTCATTTAAAAGTTTGAAAAAAAACAAACCCCTCTCTCATTTGTCAGTTACCCAGGGCTTTTGAAATATGGTTCCCTTCCTTTAGTTATTCAAGCTGCTCTTCCATTGTGCTGCTGCGGAGTCACTGCTGAATGTAACTGTACTCATTTTGAGATTAGTCTCAGAAATATGATTAATTGTATGATAAAACTGAAAGAGCTGGGTAAAGAACAAAATTCTGACCTAAGCATGAGTATCTGAAATGCAAGCAAAGAACCCCCAAAATTAGTTGCTTTCAGCCTTGATTTGTCCTTCTCCCCATCCTAAGCAGCCTCCTTGAAATTAAAGGTGCTGCATGGGTGTAAGGTCCCCTATTTCAGTATCACTTATACACGTGCTTAACATTATCTTCCAGATAATGAGTCCTAAAGAAGCCATATCTTCAGACACCGACAGCCCACTCTATTAGTTTCATTCAGCATGTACACAATAATTGACAGCTTTTTTTCTCCTCTCCCTGCTTTAAATTTTTAGTGTTTCTGTGCCTCTTGCTCCACTCATGATTTGAAGGAGAGGGTTGTGCCCCATTAAGACTCATGATACTGTCTCTATTTATTGTTAGTCTGTAAGGTACTACCAGACCACTTGTTTTCTTAAGTTTAAGTTACAGACTAACACGGCTATTGCTATGAGATTTTCAGAATATGTTAGAGTATCAGTATGAAGTGAATGGCATTAGTCATGTACATAAAGTAACACATGCATAAGCCTTTCCAGCATCAGGCCTAACTGATGGAATAATTTGGATCAAAGACAGGTATATTGAACTGCTTTTTTTAATATGTTTCCAATTAAAGCTTGCTTCAGTGAATCTCCTGAAAATAGTTTCCTATAGCAATGAAAGTTACTGTCACCTCTAGAAAACAAAACTAGCTCTTCAGAATTTCTGCCATGCCACTGGCCTGCTAGGTGATGTTAGATGACTTAGCAGCTCAGTTTCTCTGTCTGTAAAATGGGGATGATACTTGCCTGCTTTGAGATCCTGAGCTTCCTGGTTTAAAGCATACAAAACAAGTATTTTTTTCTGTTTTAGGCCCATTGTATCTGAACGAAATGAGTTGCTTGTTCAGTTCCTGTCTGATTTAAGTTTAACTGCTGATGGCTTTATTGGTCACTATAAGTTCAGAGCCAAAAAGTTACCTACAACCACAGCTCCAGCTACAACCACTCCCTTTGCAACAGCAAGTAAGTTGTAGTAGTTTTATTTATTTTATACTGAAGAATTCCTTTCAGGAGAAAGGAAAGATGAAGGGAAACTGTAGTAACTTGGTGAAAAAGCAGAACTTGGTTTTGTGGTTTGTTTGTATTAAAAATATTAAGGGAGTATACGAGAAATAATGCTCCCCAGGGATCACTAGACTCCATTAAACATAATTAAAGAAAACTTCTCCAGTTTAGAGTTTCCTGTCTGTCTTACTGATGCAGGTGAAAAATGTTAGCTCAATGTTTAAAGTAGCATTTCCTACATTTGCTCATTTTTCTGGCAACTAGCAAGTACCTTTCACCATGATAATCACATAGTGCAGTGCAAGACTGATTTCTTGTTTATGCTAAATAAAATCTGGTTACTCTTCTGAAAATTGTTTCAATTTAGATTTCTGAGGAAATAATGAAGTAGTTTCAGGCTGAGTTTTTATATAAAAATTGACCATGCATGTCTGTTTGTCTAGTTGGTGAGATCTAACAAATGGTGCAGATGCCAATCAAATTCTCATTAGACCCTACTAACAACATCACAGCAATGTTTTATCTTTGAGTTTAGAACTACACAAAAGATTGTGGGGGTGATTTGTAAAAGAACTATGCAATATTAAAAATGAGAGCCCTCTTTTATAACTTACCTAAATATAGGCAGTGTGTCTAAGATCAGTGGAAAGTTTCCCATATGCTTCACCAAAAACACCTCATTATTGCTGGGATTCTGAAGGGCTTAATGCTTGCAATCTTCATATCCTGAATGTGAGAGATTAGATGTACAATAACAGCACACACACAAATTATTTATGATGTTTTTTATAGCATGTGGGTTGATTGGTACTAAAACATATCAAATTGTCATAAGAAAAACTTCAGAAGGGTTGTCAGATGTGATGCTGAAAATACATAGTGAAAGGCTATTAAAATAGTCATTAGGTGAAAAACATTTGAAAAGTCAAAATAATAAACTATAAAAGCAAGATATTTTTTATATGACAGTGGAGAGAACCCTAGTAACTACTAATCAGTTCTTCCTCAACAAAGTTCTCTATTTTGTTACTTCCTATATTTACTGTGCCCTAAACTTGTCAGCTGTCCCACCTTGCACCATTTACATCAAGGAGCTCATTCATCTATTTTGGTATTTGTTTTGTTTTTTGTAAGCTTTATTAATTAGTTTAGAACTTTTAAAACCAGTCCTTGTGGCACCATTGATGTTAAAAATAAAACCAGTCTAATAGTGATCTCGCAGAGTATGTAGCAGAGTTGAGAGGAACCACAAAGGAGAACTTGTTGGAAGAGACAAACAGGAAGACCTCTCGATTTGTGATCTGCTGTCCATGACTTAGACCTGTATGAGCAAAACAACCATCTACAGTTTAAACATTTGGTGAATCACTGAATAGCACATGGAAAAAGACTATGGGCATTTTGTCATTAACAGAATCTTCAGTAATAATAGGCATTTATTATCTTGAAAATCAAAAGAGTTCAAGCCTGTATTAGGCTTGTTAAACCGTAAGTGACTGTTTAACTTTTAGTAAGTACTTCCATTAACCATCATATTTAGTTATATACATTTACAGTACCATTACTATTAAGAAAAATGACCAAATACTGAAAAGCCCTGAAGTTTTCAAAAGATTAAAGTAAGTCAATTAAATGTTTCATATAATGCTACGTAATGAGTTAGGTTTGTTTTTAATTTAACTATATAGGCAAGTCATGTTACTTCCAGTATAGCTACAGATAAAACTGATAGTGGTTCAGATAAAACCTTCTCTGGTTCACTCAGTTGCAACATTTCTCATCCACACAAGCCTTTTCCCATTTCTCATGTGTGGTAGTGAGGTTTTGTACCAAGCTGATTTATGTTTGCAAAATATACAGTATTTTTTCATATACTATTCTTCCCAGGATACCTTGAAGTATAATCACGAATGCACACTAAATCATAGCTGACAAAATATTTTGTGATGCATTTTCCCATTCATTAATATGCATTCATGCATACTCTCTAAATAGACAAAAGGAGGAAAGAGAGGGGAAAGAAAGGTAACTGAGGCACAGAAAAATTAAGTGACTTATCTAGGGTCACAGGATATCTGACAGAGCTAAGAAGCTGAATCCATACAGTGTTGAACCTAGATGGCCCAAGTCAAAGGGCAGTACTTGAACTGGAAGATTATCTTTTCTATCTGAACAGGGCTGTATAGTTATAACTATAATACTGTGTCTCATTTACAATATTAAGTGTTCAGTAGCTGAGCACCCATGGAGAACAATTAGCTCAGCATCCACCTTCAGCCAAGTACCCCTTCTCCTCCCAGTGCTTCTTGCCCGCTGGAGCCCCAGCAGATCAACTCCTCCCACTCCCTTCCAGTGCCTCCTGCTTACCAGCTGTTTTGCAGCATACAAAAGACACCAGGCGGGAGAAGTGGGGATGGGGCATGCTGAGGGAGGGGGTGGAAAGAAGCAGGGCAGGAGTGGAAAGAGGCAAGATGGGGGTTTGTGGGGAGGTAGGAGTGGGGTTGAGCATCCCCCAGCTAGAGAGGAAGTCGGCAACAGAGCGCAAGGAAGTAATCTGAATGCATGTATCAGATCGCATTACGTTGTCAAATAGAAGTGTTATTGCAAATTACTATAAATAATAAATAAAAAATTGTGCATTAAATAACACGAACACAGATATGTTGGAAACCCACAAAATTAAGACAGTTTATTGATAAACCTGCCATCATTTTTCATGCCATCTTGGCATCTCTATTTGCTCCAACCCCCACATGGCTTAACATTTATACTTGAATGCATAAACACAACAGGGATACATTAAAGATGCACTAGCATCTGTCATAAATTTGCCAGCAAATATTTTCGAAAAGATTAACGTCTTATCGATAGGTTTTAGTTGTACCCATGACAATTAAGTGTATGCAGTTATGTAACCTCACAAACCAAGTGAGCTTCTGAAATCTCTATCTTTACATAGGTTGAACCTCTCTAGTCCAGACTGGTGCTGGACCTGAGAATTTGCCAAACCAGGGGAGGTCAATCTTGTCTAGCAGCATTGCCAACACTTCCACTGCTTACTAGGCTCTTAGAAAAACTTTTACAAAGATGGCTCTGCAGTACCATAGACACCAAAAAATGTAGATAGTATCACGAGCTTTCCTGGGCACAACCCACTTCTTCAGAAGACATTTAGGGGTAAACTAGAACTAAGTAATGGCACAGAACACTGAGAGGCATGAAGGGTGGCTGTAAACATACTTTATGGGACTGCAGGTATCTTGGCTACACCCATAGTAAGTGGACATCTGGCTGACTAAAATCATGCCGGGATGATGGATGTTGTCAGACCAGAGAGGTTCAACCTATAGGATGAATTCTGGATTATACAAGGCTTTTTCATTTCTGTTCAACTGCCATTAAGGTAGATATGTTAAGACATGTATATAAAAAAGACCCAGTAAAGATTGGGTGAGGAAGTTGGAAGATCACTATTTCTGAAATAATCTTCAGGCAACTCATCCCTTGGAATCTCAAATCTAGTTCTATAGATTGAAAACACCAGGAAGAATCTTGAAAATATTTAGAATATTTTAATCCAACTCAATATCAATTTCACTTTTTTTTTGTTCTATGAAAAAAAGCTTTGAAACCTACAGTTGCCCTCTGCCAGCAAAAATGTGGAAGGAATGGGACCCCTGAGAGCAATTACTGTTCAAGTAACTTTGGTAAGAGCAAAAAAGTGTTTTTTTGTTTGTTTGTTTTTTGTTGTTTTTGTTGTTGTTGTTTTTTTACAATAAGTGACTTGGGGCTATGTGTTTAGTCTCTGAGGAATAACAGAATGTAGTTGAATATTGTTATTAATATGCTAAGAGCTGTTTTTATATCAAACCGTCTGTCTCTCTTACGTATCTGTGACTCAATACCTTCCTGGTGATGTTTTGAAGTAAAGACAGTCAATGTGTCTCAAAAACAAACATACTTTTCAGTCTAAACATAAATGACTACATAGAAGGTGAACTGTTGCTATATGAAAGTGTCGATTCAAATACTGCGCTGGCATGCTGTCTTGCTGGAATGGCCTGCATATATTTTATTCACAACGATGTGCTTGTTACACATACTTGCATCACTCACTATTCTGTAATTCAGTTTGTAGATATCCAGACTTTTTTTTAAGGAACCTAAGGTAAAATATGGAGAAGCTGTGAAGGCCTATGAGCCATGTTTTTTATTCAGATATAGACACCGGTGATTAAATAGTACTGCATAAATACAGTAAATCACCATCAGTCAAGTAACTTTGTTCAGTTCTCTCAAAGTGATTCCCACATATCAGTGTTGGAAGCCTCTTTATAAGCCTCACTCCCTTCTACTGCTATTGAAACCTCACGTTGTGGCCACCATCCAGTCTTCCAAAGAAAGCTGCCCACAGTAGCCTTTCAGGCTAATCCAGTGAGAATATTATTAATTATCTTTCCTTTGTGACACTTTACCATGGCAAACCAGCCCTAAAATAGAAGATCTGGAGTTCCTTGAAAAATCCCATATAAAAAATGGATTGTGAGATGGCATAGGGCCATTTCATTAATATCTAATGCCAGGGGTTCTCAAACTTGTGATACTGCAACCCCCCCTCAGTTGCTCGTGACCCCCTCTCCGTTGCTGCAACCAGCCTCTCAGTTGCTCGTGACCCCCCTCTAATTTGTTTGCGATCCCCCTATAAGTTACTCGCAACCCCCTGGGGGTTGGGACCCACAGTTTGAGAAACGCTGTCTTATGCTATTTTCTTTGCTGCCAGCCAGTATAGAAGAGTGGTTGCTGGTACAAATTAGAAAAGTCTTTAGGCTTCTCTAATTAGCCCTCAGTTCAGATTGGCTCACAATCAGAGGGGTCTGAAAATAGCTTTAAGCCAGGGGTGTCCAAACTTTTTTCAAAGAGGGCCAGATTTGATGAAGTGAACATGCGTGAGGGCCGACCATTTTGCCTGACATTCTTTGAACCATTAAAATTAAATGCAAATTAACTATTTTATGCAACGTTTATTGCAAACGGCATACTTTTCATTTTGTCACATGGATGACAAATCTAAACAGGTGTTAAATCACTCTGCCTTTCATATCTGAAGGCCAGATGAAAAAAAAAAATCCAGGCAGCTGAAATATATGTCAGGAATATTGTAAAGTACATTACATATTATTGGTAATAAAGGTTGTCTGTCAACTTTTAAGTTCAAAAAATATGAACAGGAACATAACATCAAGTATACATGTTGTGTCCAAATATATTTATAACTGATTTAGACCAACTGACATTAACTGAGATTTTACAGTGTATTCATCTCAATACATATGGATTCGTTGGGGGCCATAAAAGATAGATATTGCTAAATTACCTGTGGGGCCGTATTAAATCGGAACACGGGCCGCAATTGGCCCGCGGGCCGGACTTTGGACATGCCTGCTTTAAGCCATGTTTACTCCCCTTATTGAGCTGTCCTGGCAACTGAATCACAGTATCAGAGTCAAAGGCTTTTTTGAACATTAAGGCTACATCTAGACTATAGGCATCTTTCTGAAGAAGCTTTCTTTGGAAGAGATCTTCTGAAAAAACTTCTGAAAGAGAGCATCCACACAGCTGAAGTGCATTGAAAAAGTGATCTGCTTTTTTGAAAGAGAGCGTGCACACTGAATGGACGCTTTCTTGCATGTAAGCTGTGATTGCTATGGATGGAATGGTCACCAGAGCACCTGTGTTTTTCCTCTTTCGCAAAAAGGCTTCTTCCTCGTAGAATGAGGATTACCAATGTTGGAAAAAACCCTCTGTTCTTTTGATTTTCTTGTGGAAGAATGCAATTGCAGTGTGGACATTCCTCAAGTTTTGTTGGAAAAACTGCCATTTTTCTGACAAAACTCTGTGGTGTAGACATACCCTGAGTGACACAATGCAAGGCACTTTCCTTCCATCCCATTGGGAAAATGACAAGTTTTTAATATTGGACCCAGCTTTTGATAAACTGGCATTTCAGTTGTTCTTCATGACAAAATTACTAAAATGTTTGTGATATAGGTTGTGAATTAATGCAGAAGTTTTAAATTGTGCTGGTTTGGATACCTTTAGAAAATAAGAGCAATTTCTTTTTAAATATATTATATATCTGTAATATCTGGTTGCTGATTTTTAAAGTGTAGTTTTCTTAGTCTCCATTAATGTAATATCCCTAGTCCTATTGTGATGAGACTTCCACATTTAATCTAGGTTGAACTTCTTGCAATTATAAGAAAATGTTATATTCACAAATGTTTGATCTGAAATATTGGTTATACCAATATATTCAGTTGGTATGTATTAGATAATTAAAGCTCTATCAGATCTCATTCAAAGGTGAATTGCAAAGGAGAAAAAATATTGTACCATTAATAGATCAAAAAGGAAATACGTGTCCTAGTTTGCTTCTGCTTGTTTCTTTATATTAGGCTTTCAGCCGATCATCATGTCACTATCACACTCAATTTCACCAGTCTTCTAAGGAACTCTCTAGCAAAAAAACCCAGGGATGACAAGACCCGATACTTTTATTGGGGGCAGAAGGGGAAATTCACCCAGAAAAATATACTAAACTTTAGAGATTGTCATTATACATCAGAGTAGGTAAAAAAGGCTTCCCCCCCCCCCTTGCCTTGCAGTTCACCTTCTCAGGAAAAGGATAGGTGTTTAGTGCAGCCTATCAGTCTCACAATTCAAACAGCAGGCAGGCGGTTCTTCTTACCATAAATATACTACATGTCAGAAAATGAACAGGTTTGAGTTTCTGTTTTTCAAAAGTACTACATACTCACAAGTTCTGTTGACATTAGTATGATCTGTGGGCATTTAGCACCTCTGTAAATTGAGGTCAAACTTTTTTTTGGCACTTAAGCTTAGAAGTGTCCCTTCCTCCTCAAAAAAGAGATATTGGTGATACAGGAGCCCAGTGTAAGACTATGAAATAATGGGCATAAGAATTTTCAATTTCTTTAAAATGTGAAAAAAATAAAGGTTAATAAAGTCTGCCCTATGATACAATAGGAAGTCAGACTAGATGATAAGTTGGTCCCATAGGGTTTTAAACTCTACAATGTTAATTATCAAAACTTAGAATTGGATTTCAGTTGTTGGTATTTTCTGGATACACTTCTATTCTTGACCAGCCTCAGTATGACCACCAATATTTTACCTATAATGTGCGACCCATTTGAAGTACTGAGATTTTTGCAATGTTGCAGCTTTTATTTTGGTGGCTGATAATTTTCAGTATCATATTTTTCTTAGAGTAGAAGTTAATTTTTTTGACCTATCAGTATTGATGATTCCTATTTATCTCTTGCTTATTTCCAAAGAGTAAAAAGGTAACAAATACACTAATATATTCTTTCTTTTAGTAATTACTGGAACTGTTATTACAGCAGTCACACGGGGTGGCAGCTTACATGCAACTATATCAATCATAAATGTATATAAGGAAGGAAATTTAGCTATCCAGCAAGCAGGCAAGAACATGAGCACCAAGATCATTGTTGTTTGTAAGCAGTGCCCTCTCATCAGGAGAGGTAAGTAAACCAGAAAAATAACTGAATTATGTGTCTGTAAAACTCTTATCATAGCTTCCATTTTCATAGCTCTTCTAGCAAAATTTAAAATTAGTCAGTTAACATATCAGAACTGCTAATTACAAGAAAAAACTGTCTACATGTTATAGTGCATTTTTACAGTTTTCAGACTCACTGGATGTAAATAACAGACCATGGATAAGCATCTACTTTATGGTAAAACCTATGTATAGACTTTTAAATCTAATACATGTTGTAGGGTAGGTGAAAGAGTTCTTATATTTCATTGATGTTCTAGTGGCTCAGTGGAATTTGTTTTGGTGTTCCTAAATAAAGCTTACCTGGATTTCAGTTTTGGATTTAAGTATTTGAGAGTTCACATTCCATTATTTAGCAGGGGGGAAATGTGAATAGGTTAAACCTAAGGGCTACGTCTACACTGGCCCCTTTTCCGGAAGGGGCATGTAAATTTCACTAGTCGTCGTAGGGAAATCCGCGGGGGATTTAAATATCCCCCGCGGCATTTAAATAAAAATGTCCGCCGCTTTTTTCCGGCTTTTAAAAAAGCCGGAAAAGAGCGTCTAGACTGGCCCCGATCCTCCGGAAAAAGTGCCCTTTTCCGGAGGCTCTTATTCCTACTTTGAAGTAACATCTGATGACAAGTAACATCACTATAACAAACGTTTGTATCAAGCATGTTAGCCAAGGCAACATCCAATAAAAGGCAATCAAGATGACTAGCGTGTCACTGTAAGAAATGCTTAAAGTTTTATAGTTACAAGTAACCAAGAACAATCTTCAACTCTGCCTCTTGAGCAAACTATAGTAAAAAGCAAGAGCAAATAAAAAAAATGGAACCAGAAGAGGAAAAAAATCAAAATAATTTAACCAGCTTAGGAAACAATCCAGGAGCAGTGAACTATCCTATAAAACAAAACACTCAGTGTACTAAATATGTACTCAGAGTGGCCAGCTCTGAAAAAAATTCCTGGTAAAAAACTAGTTTTTGCTTTTATCGTTAACTGCCTGGAATATGGATATCTGGGAGATGATAATGTCCTTGATAAAGCAAAGTTATTCTCTTTAGACAGACAGCTGACTACAAATCACACTCCACTCTGTTTTTCTATAAATCATATTACTAAAAATGTGTTAATTTGTTATTTCTAAACTGTTCCATCTGTCTCTTACTTCCCTCAGTCCCTCTCCAATTTGTCTGATGCTTGGCAAGCCTCTGTCCTTTTATGGCTATAAAATAATGATTCTGCTTCATGACGCACATTAATTCCTCTTGCATTTCTCTTAATCCCCATTGTTCTTATATTTCATCGCTAGTGGACCTATGGTACTACCACCTATATGCTTGTCCAGTCTTTACAGTAACTTCCTTTCTGCAGGTCTAAACTACATCATCATGGGCCAGCTAGAAGAAGATGGCAGAGGTAAAATCCTGCCCAACAACTTTGTCATGAGTTTCAAGACTAAGAACCAAAAGACCCTGAACACCTTGAAAAACAAACGGTGTTAAAATGTGAATTCTGTATCTGCTTTCTGCCATCTCTGTGTGAGAAACAATTTTTATACAGTAAAAATCAGGAAGATAAAGCTGACCATAACCAAAAAGCGCTTGTCATTCTACTGTCTCTTACATATAACCATGTAACTTAGCACTGACTGTCAATTACATTAAAATATTGAGACTAGACACCAAATTTTAAACTACAAGATTTGCAGCATAACCATCTGACCTGAAACAAACCAAGTTCTGGCTCCTTTGAATCTGTTAATTTATATTTGTCTCAGAAGGATTTTTTTTAGGAATGAATTTGTGCTGATGTAAAAGAATAATAAGTGCAATATTTATATAAATTCATTTTAATGTAGGTTTTTCTTCTAAAGTTGTTTTATTTTGTGGGCTCTTACATTATCTAAGATTAAGATATTTTAAAACCTTATGCTAGACCAAAGAATTATTTATATATATAATTTGATAAGTGGAACATGCTAAAAAATAGAAAATCTGTGATCATTGACATGTTTGCAATGCTCTGGCACTTGGAATGGAAACATTTTCTTGTGGAGTATAAGATCTGCTTCTGATATCTTTGGAAGACTATAGGAACTGGATTTGGGTTTTAAAAATTTGAAATTATACTACAGCACAAGGCTTTTATCTAGTAATGTTTTATTTAGCTTGTTTTATTTTGCAGTATTTCACAAATAAAGACAAAACATTCACTCTCTAGGTAAGGGCTAGGAATCAGTCAAGGGACAGAGACCAAGATTCAGATTGACACTCAGCACTAGCAGTACAAATGGGTAGGATATTTTTCTGCATAGGTTGATGAGATAAAAAAAAAATGCCTTAAAGTCAGAATGATTTTCTATTAGACATTATTCCCTTTATATATACATGGAAGTAAATGACTAGGAAGGAACTGTTTGGGATAAACAGGATTTTACATCCCTTGTTCTAAGCGAGTAAATGAAATGTTTAACCAGTTAATCGATTAAGGAGAGGGTGGATGGAGGGGGCACCAGTCTAACTGAGCTGGAGCACCATTCCCTTCCCCTCCCCCTGCTACCATTGCCGACGAGCTGCTCGGTCCAGGCTGGAACATCCTATGCCAGTGGTGGGTCCTGCTGGCCTGGAGGCAATGAATTGGAAATGTTAAACCATTAAGGGTGAGGCTTACCAATTAACTGCACATCTCTAGATACCACAGTAACTGGTGTTCTAAGTCAGTTTTGTCCATTGCATTCTGTCTGACATCACCCCCATATTGGTGCACATAACAAAAGTCATGTGCCCCCACACATTGCACAGTGGTTGGCTGCTAGGGCCATCGTTTGTGTCTCTGCATGACGCACTGTGGGGAGGGGGGGAAATCTCTGCATGTTGAATAGGCCCTCAAGCAAGCTGCAAGGATTGTGCTGGGGGCAGGAGCAGTGCACAGAGTTCCCCCAAGGAGCTCGCACTGCCCAGAGATGCACATTCTGGGGCCCCAGCAGCTTTGAAAAGTGTGCTGGGGCATAGGTGGCCCAGAGTATCATGGCAGAGAGGATATGAATGTTTGACAGGCCACATTTGGCCTGTGGCCATATTTTGCCCACCTCTGAGCTAGATGGTGCTTGGTCCTGCTGTGACTGCAGGCGACGAGACTTAATGACCTCTCAAGGTCCCTTCCAGTTCTAGTATTCAGTGATTCTATGACTTACCCAGCATCACACAGCAGTTCAATGGTACAGCCAGCAATAGAACCCATGTTTCCTACCTCCTACTCCATTCCTCTACTCACCAAACCAGGGCTACTCAACACGTGGCCCACAGGCCCGATGTGGCCTGCAGCCCATTTGTTTGCGGCCCGGATTTACACGGGGCCTGCAGATGGGATCCTTTGAACATGGCCTCCAATGGGAGCACGCTCCACAAGGGCAAGGCATCTCCTAGGCGGGGTGAGCACTGAACCACCCAAGCGGACAGGCTGGCTGGAACAGATGGGGTACAGGGGATCGGTGTTTCTAGCCCCTGGGGAGAGGTGCCAGGGCATTGTGGGAAGTGCTTTATATTCATGCCTGTCAGTGTGAAAGAAGCTATTTGCATATACACTTACATGTATGTGCAACCACAGTTATTGTGGTCCTTGGCATGTGCTGTGTCATTGTGGCCCCAGGACTTGCAAAGTTGAGTAGCCCTGCACTAAACCAAGCTGCTGCCATGCTTTGGCAATCAAGTGACATTTGTTTTAAAACTACATTTGTAATTCTCCAGTTTTACACGTAAGTTTTCAAATACTGGTTCATGTGTAGACTGTGCATTCTAGTGCTTGCATAACTAGACATCAACTTAGTGAACACCTTTACACTGCCGAAGTGCTATGGAAGCGATGTGTATTTTCCCCTCTTTAGGGGGGCTTGCGAGTGGAAAGGAGAACTGCACTAATCTCTGTGATAGGGGCTTTGTAAATATTAAATAGACTGCTTATGGAATATTAGTAATAGACTACTCAAGAGGACAGTAATTCCAAATATAAATTTAGAAATACAAGTTGAACCTCTCTAGTCCAGCACTCTTTGGTCTGGCACCATCTGTGGTCTGGCATGATTTTAGTTAGTTGTCCACTTATATCATGGATGTGACCAAGTTTCCTGTGGTCCCATAAAGTTTATTTACGGCTACCAGACCTGGCTTTTAGTGTTCTGTGCTATTGAGTTCTAATTTACCTCAAATATCTTCTAAGAGCCCAGTAAGCAGTGGAAGAATTGACAATGCTGCTAGACGATATTGCATAAGCTCATCACAGCTCTGGAAAAAGGTGTTTTCTCCTCAGAGAGGAACATTTTAGTCAGGTGTTTCCAGACTTAAAATATACATATTGCCTAGTGGAACAATAAATGAAACAGAGGAAATCCAAAAGCCAAGTATCATGTCCATGCCAGCACCTTAATTGAAGATCCTTTCATTAACAAACCTGTTCAAGACTATGGCTTGAAGGGAGCCTGGAACATCAATTCCATTCTTATGTCTGTATGAGTCAAGTAAGAAACAATCAATCTCTTTCTTAAAAGTTTGAGTGAGTGAGAGAGAGAGAGAGAGAGATCTGAAGGAACTGACCACATAGAAAATGCATCACCCAGAAAAATTACTTATCCATTACTTTACTTCTGACCAAGAAGAAAGACAAGAGGATTAAGCCGACTCCAAGTCTCAATACAATGAACACACTAAAACATATGTTGTTACTAAAGTACCACAGAGAATAAAATGCTGCTTTACAGGACCCGGAACTGCATTTCTGGGTATATCTGATCTCACCTCAGGGCAAGAGGATGGACGAGATGACTTAGCACTTCTTTCAGCCAATGTTTCTATTATAGATATGAAAATCTGAAGCACTATACCATTTCAGATTTTTTCCCCCCAACTCAAGAGAAATGCCTTGACATAACATAGCTCTATATTTTGCTGGGCACATAGAAGATGAAAAGAGAATTATTGGCTTACAAAGAGAAATAAAGGGGATATTGTGGAAATATTAATAGATGGGTATCAATAGCTTCCAGCCAACTTCCTTAAACGCCTATGATAAAATATCTTGCTGTGCTGTGTAATGAACTGAAAATTATCAGCTCTCCTAAATATTTTTCAAGTATATCTATTTTGTTAATATCTAATACAACCAAATTTTTCAAATTGTTTTTTATTTCTTTCCTTTTTTTGGCATGTATTACGTAATATATACATTGCGCAGTTTTTGTGTTTGGCTTGTATACTAACACAACTTATCACCCCACTCAAGACTTTGATCATCCTCTTGTTTTGGAATACAGTCCTTATTCAAATAGAAAGCTGACAGACAGATCAGAATCTCTAAACAAGAGCTTCAAAAGGCCTGATGTATAGACCTCACATAGGATATGCATAACTCCACAGTGCAAATGATAGATTACTTTTACGAGAAATATTTTTATAATGAGAATTTGCTCAAAAGAGGGAACATGGACAAGCTGCGTCAGCTCTCTGTGCCCCAGCATCAGTTACAGTAATATGCCATTGTGGCTAGCTGCGCCTTCTGACCTTAAGACCGACTAATGATCTAATTTCCAACTCAGAATATTAGAACATTGCATCCACAGGATTACTGCAAAATAATCCTTGAACTATCATAAATATAATCTGGGTTTCATATAAAAAAAATACAAGAGTTTCACGTTTTCTGAATTCTAACTTGTCCACTTGAATTATACACAAGCATATGAAGATTTACTATACCCTCTAACAGAAAAAAAAACTCACAAAGTTCTTACTTTCCTTTATAAGCAGAATTAAAATCACAAATAATTATGATATAAACACCTTGCAGTTGGAAGCGGTAAATTCAGAAAGAACACAAAATATCAAGATACATTTAAAACAGGATATGAAAAAAGTCTCTCAAAGAACATTCACAATGCAGCTGAGAGGGTACTTCAACACAGATAGACAAGCACTAGCTCTGCTCAAGCCAGCATACTAGAAGTAGCTGATGTAACATGGGCAACAACTTGGGCTGGGCTAGTTGTGAGTACAAAATTATGTGAGCTTCCTAGATACATACTTGAATAGTTAGCCCAAGCCCCAACCTATGCTACCCACAGCTGTGCTGCTACTTTTAGCAAGCCTGTCTATTGTGCTGGAAAACTCATTCCCAGTTGTGGTATAATTATACCCCAAACCAAAATCTTCTGAACGCACATCTTCCAATTCATAAGAATAACGTATGTTCTTACACAGAAATAATTGTACAGTATTTCCATTTGTTTTAATAAAAAAAATATTTAGCCTGGCAAACAAATAACATTTATGCTCTAGAGCCATATCTAATTCCTGTTAAAAAAATGTTTTCCTATGCCAATGATGTGTAATGCAGATACAAGTATTTCTGAACACTACTCAAAATTAAGAGGCTATTTAAAAAAAAAAAATCCCAAACCCCAAGAGTTGCATATGGCACACAGAGTGCTACCTAAAAAATCTTTGTGTGTTATTTAGAGGCCTTGACTATTTTAAATGAATCCATTAAGGTTCTGGAGATGGATAGCTTACTTTGGCTCTATGTCCAAGATTTAAACATCCCCACTACCCTGCAATTTTCAGGGAACAAATCACAAAATTGATTTCCCAATGTTTTACAGTTGTTAATATTCAGTACATCATGTACAAAATCTGGCACCTATACAATCATGCAGTCTTTAAATTTCCATTGCAAACTAGTTTAAATCATACTGGTTAAATTTCTATTAAGAAGGCACCAGGTTTATTTTTAAGTATTGTTAAAATCTCCATCTTTTCCCACAACTTGGAGAAAAAAAGAAAAAAAAAACTAAGAGGGGGGAAAAAAAAGAGCAAAAAATAGGGGAAATAAAACATGCCAGCTCCGAAGACCTGTAGACCAACAGCTAAAGTGACTTTGTCAAAATCCACATTTTGGGTAACATTTAGTGTAAAATGCTATATACATATTTTACATACTGTACATTACATACTTAAAGAGCTTTACAGGAATGACATAGTAACATCTTTTCAACTTAGCTGAAACTCATGCAGATACAGTTTCAAATTTTATGTTGTGCAAAAAACCTGCTTTTCTGTTTGGTCTGGCAACAGAAATAAGCCATCACTGTCAACTGTGGGTATACCTAAAGTTAAACATGATCCTTTTAAAAACTGGGCCTTAGTTTCTTGGATAAAACATAGCATATTTAGATGTCCGAAAGCCAAGTAGATCCCTCATTTCATTTCGGAATTTTGATAAATCTTGCCGTAATTCATTGAGATTTTCCATGGTTGCTTGATCCATGCTTTGCATCTTTTGTCTCATGGAGGTTAAGTAACGATGGACTAAACAACACATCACCTTTTGGTAGTTCTCGTCCCTCTTTTGCTTCAGATTTCTCCATTCCTTTAAACAAAAATAAAGATTTACTAAACAAAAGGGAATTATTTTTATTTATTTAATTAGAAGATTTACCTGGTGTTGCTTGGGTCCTTAACTCAATTAATTTTTGTTTTTTGGAAAATAAAATGTAAATGTACATGCTTTATTTGAATCATTGCTCCGGGCTGGGGCTTGGGTTCATTACGCAGGCTGCCCTGTGGAGAGAGAATACTACCCCAGCCCTCTCTCACCACAGCAGCTTGGGGCGGGGGGGCGGGAGCAGGCACAACTAGAGGAGGGATGGATGTCCCCTGGCTGGGGCAGACCCAGGTTCATCTGCTCCCTGTGCTCTCCAGAAAGAATGAGGAATTGGAGGCGGAGGGAGAGGAAGCTTCAGCCCCTCCCCCAAAAAAGGTTCCTGGGGGGACGGACGGATGGACGGACTTGGGGTTGGGGCAGTCCCAGACCAGGGGTGTGTGTGGGGCTACGGTCATTTAAAAATGTAACTGGTTAACACTATGTTTAACTAGTCAACCATGGAGCAGCTCCCTGCGTTGCAGCAGACCTGGCTGGGCTGGAGCACTGCCGTGGATGGGGCCTGCTCCAGCCCGGTTGGGTTCACTGTGCTACTGCATCATGCTGGGGGGGACTGCTCTGGCAGAGCCAAACTCAACACAATACCATGTTGGGCAGAGGGCTATCCAGCCCAACTGCCAGTTAACCAGTTACTGGTAAGTATCATGCCCCTTTACATCTACAGGGATGGCATGCCCTCATCCAGCCCGTTTCACCTGCCTTTTCTGTATGGTTTTCTCAGAAGCAATCCCATTTCCCCAGCACAACCAAACCCTTACTTTGCTTTAAGTTATGATAAGAGAAGGAATTCTTAGACAGGCAGACACACAAACTCTCTCAACTAAGTAGGGGTACATCTTCACAGAAGGGCTAACGTCAAATTAAGCTATGCAACTTAAGCTACACAATTGACGTAGCTGAAGTCGAAATAGCTTACCTCGGCTTTGGCACTGTCTACACAGAAGGAAGTCGAAAGAACAACACACTTCCTTTGACTTCTCTTACTCCTTGTAAAATGAGGTTTACCATGAGTTGGAGTAAGTTATCCTCCAGCTCAACATTATTTCAAAATAATGGCTGGTAGTGTAGACACGCATTATGTTATTTCAGAATAACATCAGTTACTCTGAAATAACGCTGTTGTGTCAATGTACCCTAATAGATTTGAGCCTTGAAGTCTGTGTAATTGGCAGCACAACATACATCCACCCAAGATGGAATTCTTATGTACTAATTTTCAACTTGTGTACATGTATATGACAATGTGTGCAGCCTTTTGAGATAAAAATGAGACCGGCCCACAAAGCCCAATTTGTGAAGCAAAAATGGAGGTCTTGTAATCTATCTAGCTTGGAAAATGTTATACAAATGTATGATATTTCTGATTTAACCTTTGTACTTAAGAGTATGTTCTGTACAGTCTTTCAATCTGGTTTGCTTGAAATATTTTTGGCTGCAAGAAGGAGCAGCAGCAATTAGTATACATAATTATAGAGTACATTAACTATGTTTATTTAAAGAAAATGTAACACCTCCCCAAAATTAAGAGACTCCAGTGTTCCTTTTTTGGTTATTTATTTTGACATGTCATATGGCATGTTTATAATTAGTCATTCCCCCCCCCAATTCTAACTGCACCATTACAAAATTTATTACAAGTCTCAGCACTGAAGAAAAAGAGTGTTATTAGGTTTTATATTAAGCAGCAGGGCCATTAAAGATTTCATTAATGGATTTTGTTTTGTTCAAAGAGGAAAATTATGCCAGCCTTAATTAAAAATCTCAATTAAAACTGAAATAAATGTGCGCGTTCTTGCCTTGTGCTAACAGTTATATTTTGGATTCAAAGACTAGGAAAGTTTATGGCCAGAAGGGACCATTAAATCATCTGGTCTGATTTTTCGAGCCCTGCAAATCCATGGATATCTGCAACCACGGCTGTAGATGCAGATTACCACGGCTCATTTTTCCAGATATAGATACAAATTTTACATCTAGAACCCTGCAAATTTGTGGATATCAACTGATCATTTTTGTATATGCAGGTGGAGCTATAAACATTGTTTTTGCACAGGGGTCTACTGATTTTATCTACATCACGAGCCATAATATTTCTCATACTCATAACATAATATGAGTATGAGAAATATTCTCACAACATAATATGAGTATAACAACTTGTGTTTGGCTAACGCATCCAGAAAACCATCTAATCTTGATTTGAGAACATCGTGTATCTGAGTAGTTTGTTCCAAAGGTTATGCACTTCAAATTATAAATGAGGAACAAACTTTAAACAATGCATTTTCTGATTTCAGCTTCCAGCTATTACTGGTTCTTTTCATGCCTTTTCCCACTAAACTAAATAGGCTTGTTAGTAGTCAATGCTTTTCCTTGTAAAGACACTTATATGCTATAATAAACTCAAACCTTTCTTCTGATAAGCTATAAATTGAGATTTTTAAACCTCTGAGGCTACGTCTAGACCGCAGCGCAATGCCACGTCCAAGGAACACATCCACTTTTCTGAATTTTTTTTGAAAAAGCAGACGTGCTCTTTCACCATCCCTATAAACCTCATTCTGTGAGGCATAAGGGATGTGTTGAAATAGCAGGTTTTTCTGAAATCTGGTGCCGTGTAGATGCGCTAACTTTCAGAAAAACCTCTTGCGAAAGAAAATTGGAAAAAGATTTCTGATTTAACTCTACAGTCTAGATGCAGCCTCACTATAGGGTACTTTTTTCCAACCTTGAAAAATTATTTTTGTGGTGCTTGTCTGCACCCTTGCCTATAAAATTTCAACATCCTTTTTTAAATGCAGGCACCACCATTATTTACACACCATTCTATTACTGATTTCACCAATTCCATATACAGAGGTGAAAAATCACTTCCTTACTCCTACTCACTACTTTGTTATTTATACATCTAAAGATCCCATTAGCTCTCCTCACAGTATTACAACTAGGAAGCTCATGTTTAGTTGCTTGTTCAACAGGACTCCTAAATCCTTTACATGGGCATTGTATTCCAGAATTTACAGTCCTCTGTTCCACAGGTATGGTCTGCATTATTTGCTCCTGAATGTATAACTTGGTATTGGCTATATTAAAACACATTTTACATATCCCAACTGCTCTGTATGAATGGCTGAGTGGTAAATAATGATAATAGGGCAATCTTTCTGTAAGTTACCGGGCCATTAGCAAGGACTTTATATTTACTTACAGATCATTGATCAAAATGCTCATCAGGCTTTTGTACTGATCATCATGGTAGAATCCTAGATTTCTACTTCCCCCTCTCCATTTGATGAGGATTCTGCACTGATAACTAATTTCTTGAGCTCCATCAGTTAAGCCACTTGTTTTATTTAATGTGGGCTTTGCCAATATTGTATAGTGCTAATTTTTAATTAGTGTATCATATGGTACTACATCAAAGATCTTACATAAGTATATTACATTTACTCAGTTAACTTTATCAGCTACATTTATAATCTCTTCAATGAAATACATCAGGTTTGTTTGATAAGAACCATTTTCCATAACATCATATTGATGGGCAATTATATTTGTATGCTTAAATTCTTCATCAACTGAATCCCTTATAATCTTAACCATTATTTTGGACATAACTGAAACTATATGTAGAATACATTACAGTAAAAACTTTTTTATCAAGCATGTCAGGAAAGTGGGGGGTGCTAGTAAGTAAAAAATTCTAGTTAACTAAGAGGGAAGAAGTTTGGATGTGGGGCTGGGTATTGGAGCATAGGAGGTAGAAGAAGTTTGGGTAAGGGAAGGAGGTTTAGGACAGGAGGTTGAGGCATGAGAGGGTTTTGGAGTGCTGGATTCTGGAAGCGCTCATGTTGGACGGTTCCCTGCAAATGGTGACCTGTCCCTGCTGCTGCTGGTGGAACTGTGGCTAGGCGGCTCTGTGCATTGCCCACACCCAGCCCTGAGTGCTGACTCTCGACCAATGGGAGCTGCAGGGGCATCACCTGCAGGTGGAAGCAGCATGCAAAGTCACCTACCTGTGACTCCTCAGGGCAGGGACAGGTTGCCATTTGCAGAGAGCTGCCCGAGGGGAGTACCTCCAATTCCCATATTACACCCCAGCTACCACATAGAACCTGTGCCACACCCCCTCCTGTGCCTCACTCTCCAGCTCTACATCTCCTCCTGCAGTCTGAACCCTTCATGGCTATTCCGCCATGTAGTGGGCCGGAGTAGCCGCCCACTGAGCCGAAGGAGGAGGAACCCCTCCAGCCGCCATGTTGGGCTGAGGCTAACCCCGCCCTGTCACCTGACCGGAAGCCAAGGCGCGGTCCCAGAACTATAAAAGCCCAGGCAGCAGCCTCAATCAGGGCTCAGCCTGCCAAGAGACTAGAGGCCTCCTCTGGACTCCCAGCCTGAGGAGTGGGGACTGAGGCCTGGCCAGGGCCTCCTACCTGCCGGGGCCCAGAGGCAGACTACCAGTTCCCTGCCTAGGAGGCGGAGGCCCAGCTTAGCCCGCCTACCTTCACGGAAGTGGCTGAGGATCCAAAAGGCCAGCCTGATCCTGTGCTCCAGCGCCTGCCCTGGAACTGGGAGAAGCGGCCCCAGCTACCTAGACTGGAGGCGCCGCCTGGGACTCCCACGGACCCTGAGGCCTGGCCCAGCTGCTCGACACCGCCTGCATCAGGAGCCCAGCTGAGCCCCACTGACCTGCAAGCAGCGAAGGACAGGACCAGACCGCCCCAGTGGGACAAGACCCTCCTGGACTCACTGCCTCCGCCGCCCGATACCCAGGTACCGGCTGAGGGGAAGAACGGAAGAGGCCCAGAGGTAGTGGGGGCTGTTAAAGGCCCCAAGGCTGGCGTGTTTTGGGCCGGAGACCCCGCTGAGCCGTAGCAGCCTTCACTGCTGCTCCCAAGGCCCTGGGCTGGGGTGCAGTGGAATGGGCGGGCCTGAGCCCCCCCCGCTGGGTGGCAGTCTCCCCCCTTGCCACTGCCACAGGCAAGTAGCCTGCAACCCTCCTGAACAAGGAGACCCCGTCCCCTTCTCTGTGGCCATACCCTGAACCAGGGCCTGGCTGTGCTCTAAACTGAGTGTTTGTTGCCATGCTCCGAACCAAGGGCCTGGCCCCTCTTTAACTGATTGCTCTGGATTGTTTGTTGCCCTGCTCTGACTGAGGGTCAGGGCCTCTTGAACTGACTGTTTGTTGACTGTAATCATGTGCTGCCGCCCAGGGCCGGACGGAGGCATGGGTGAGCCGGGCAGCTGCACAAGGGCGCCAACCGATGGGGGGCACCTGATGGCAGCTGTAAGGAGTGCGCAGCGTCCCTTACAGCTGCCACCGGGCGCCAGGCGCCCGGCTCCCACAACGCCGGCCTGCCCGCATCCCCACAGCGCCGGCCAGCAACGCCCTTCCCCCCACGGCGTCTTACATGGCCCGGTGCGTGCACCAGCAGCGAGAGCTGAGCCGGACTGGGCCGCGCATGCGCCGTGCACCCCAGGAGTGGGCCCCAAGCTGCGCTCCAGCGGCCGTAGCCGTGCCACGTATGTGCCGTGCGCTTGGGGGCAGCGCCGTGTGCCCGGGGTGCCAGAATACCTCAGGCCGGCCCTGCTGCTGCCCCTGAACCAGGGCCTGGCCTTCACTTTGATAGCCTAACTGTGCTGGCTGCTGCCTTGCCCTGAGCCAAGGGCCTGGCCAGGTTATAAACTTACCGTGTATGTTTGCCGCCATGCCGTGAACCAGATCCTGGCCTGCTTGTAAACTTGACTCTGAGTGGCCTGTCACCCGCCCTGAACCCGGGCTCGGCGTACCTCCAGAAAGGGGCTGGGTGGACTTGCAGCCCCTTCCCCCCGAACCAGGGCGGGGCTTGGATAGATGCACAGACTTTTGAGTGCTGCCCGCCTGAAGGAAGGTCGGGTACGGACTTGTGACCTGGGGGGGCTTGGCTTAAAGGGGCAGTATCGTGGGCCAGAGTGACCGCTCACTGAGCCGGAGGAGGAGGAACCCCTCCAGGCAGGCAAACCGACTACACTCCATCTAAGAGCAGCAGGGACATATTGCTGCTTTCTGGGAGCCACACAGAGCCAGGTAGGGAGTCTGCCAGCCCTGCACCAACCAGACTATAAAGCAGACTTTGTATCAAGATAAGAAATGCTAGTTTATAGAGCTTTGTAGTAACAACAGAGCTAGATAAATAAATCACAATACAGTAAAAGCTGTTATGACAGCACCTATCACGTTATAGGAACCTTCCAGAGAAGACAAGATAAATATCTTAGGTTCACTGTAGGAAGAAATATTTCAAAGATTGTTAAAATACACTTAACTTTCCAGAAAATTTCTTACCTTCAGGCTATTCTGACGTTTGACTTTGCCAGTAGTAGTATGAGAGCTGATCCATTTACTAAGGCTGTTGAAGAGATAGCAGATAGTCTTAGGAGAAGGAATGACATTGAAAGGTGGAGGTAGCGTGCATTTGTCATCAAAGTAGCTAAGCCAAAGCTTGGCACGCGCAAACTTCCATTCTTTGTCTTCGTGATTCTAAAATATCAGAAATATTAAGATAACATTGACAAAATGAGCAAGAAAGTCTGCAAGAAAATATGTAATGTTTTGAAAGTTTATACTGGTAACTTTACATGGTTTATATTTTCCAGTACCTTAAATGCTAACATTGAATATATTCACCAATATATGCTATGGCATAAAAAAAATTAGCTACTTGTGTGTATAATTCTTTTATTAAATGCACTTTAAAGAAATATTTATAATAACTAAAACAATTGAATACATTGACAAAAATTGATTCTAGCTATAGGTACCATAAGACTTAATCTTCAATTCCCACATGCCTGTACCTTTAAAATTCATAACACTATAATACTTGATGTAATTAAAAAGAGAAAATAAACAAAAAAGCCGAAAATTAATGTGTGATGCAATTAAAAAGGGGAAATAAACAAAGCACCAAATATTAATTTCTGATTTCTGTCTTTCAGTCCATAAGTCTGCAAGTATTATGCATGTGAACTAAATTAAACTACTTGCATGCATAGAGCTATTCATGTGCGTTTTTCCACAATCAGGAATTACACTAGAATCCTCAGTGTAGAGACTAGCTTTATCCTGTACAGCATTAAGAACATTGCTGACACTTTGACTACAAAAATAAGTTTATTTACTTACTGCTATCAGCTGAAAACTTTTATGAAGCATTGCAACTAAGAGCTTGGTAAGGACAATCACAACCACTACGTTGTATGTACCAACAATAACAGCGCCCACAAAAGACTGCAATTCTTCACGATAGCTAAATCTCGTGACAAAGATTGCTACATGTGCTAGGGAAAAGATGTACCAGAACAGAGCAAAACAGGTACCGATAAACCTACAAAAACAAAATCTCTGGTTATATATAAAATATTTAACATATTTAAACACACAAATGTAAAGAAATTAGCATGTGAATTCAATTATTCAGAATGAACTACCAATTGTGTTCAATTATTACTACTGTACTTGAGGTCCAGATGGAGAATAGTTCTTTATACTATAAGCAGTCCCACTTAAAATCAGCACTGCTAATTGTAGAGTAAGGTGCTACAGATTGTCAGTAAAGGTATCATCATCTGGCCCTAACTGATGATAAAACAGAGCATTTCTTTCCAATTCAAACCATTGCATTTAAAATAGTAGTTTCCCCTGAAATACTCTGTCTCAACTGCCCATCCCCCAAAGCAACCCGACCCACCAGCCAACTAATACCTAGGTGCAATATGGTCATTGGATTAAGCCAAGCAGAGTGACTAAAAAGACTTTAATTGACTTCACTGAATTTTGGATCAGGACCTATGAGTGAGCAATAATGCTCTATATTTTATGGTAACTGATCAACATAATAACACAAGACTAGGCATGTGAAATGTTAACTGGTTAAATGGTAAGCATCACCCTTAAAGGTTAACCATCAACTGGTTCCTGCCATGGACAGGGGGGTGCTTCAGTTCAGGCACTCTGGAGGCAGGAGGAGCTTCTCCAGCCATCTTGTAGCAGTCCCTGCCTGCAGGGCAGGGAAGTATGCTCCAGCCCAGCCTCAGCAGGCATTGGGCTGGAGCATCCCCCTACCTGTCTGCACTCCTTTTAAATCAGTTAACTGGTAACCAGTTAACCAATTAAACGGGATTTTATATCCTTACGTGAGACACTATCACTGAAGAAGTTATAGTGATAGAAATGTAGCTGTGTTAGTCTGGTGTAGTTGAAACAAAATACAGGACTATGTAGCACTTTAAAGACTAACAAGATGGTTTATTAGATGATGAGCTTTCGTGGGCCAGACCCACTTCCTCAGATCAAATAGTGGAAGAAAATAGTCACAGCCATATATACCAAAGGATACAATTAAAAAAAATGAACACACATGAAAAGGACAAATCACATTTCAGAACAGAAGGGGGATGCGGGGGGGGGGTTGCTTTAGTTGCTTTTCAACACTTGATATTTTTCTCCTAGAGAAACAGTTACCAAGTTCAATCACCAAGTAATTCAATTTTCTAATCACAATGGGATTATAAAAGACACTTTTATTATCTGCTGATCACTGAGTTTACAAACCATACTGTAGTATATCTTTAAGGCACCTTAATGCCAACAGCAGTGAAGACATTTCTCAATATATTAAGATACAATGAACTTCAAATTTCTAATCAATACATTAAAACCGATACAGTTTAGAAAAAAAACAAACATTTTTGTGTTTTTATAATTCACCTTGCAATTGTTAATTTAGCAAGGAGGATATGGTCAACCCTCAGCATGCAAACTTTCTACTTATTAGACCTTCCTATGAAAAAACTGCTACTGTGAATACATTCCAAAATTGTTAATGTGTCTGTCATTTTACAATTAAAAAGATACCAAAGCATTCCAATCTATATTACTATTTTAACAAACTTCGAATTGTAATAAGTAGCATGGCAGGTTGCTTTAGTTGCTTTTCAACACTTGATATTTAAATACTAATCTAAGGCTATGTCTACATTGGCATGATCTTGTGCAAATACTCTTTAACGCAGTGGTCTCCAACCTTTTTACACCCAAGATCACTTTTTAAGTCTCAGAACAGGAGAACATCTACCGTCCCGCCCCTTCCTTGAAGGCCCGCCCTCTCTATTCTCTTCTGTCCATCACTTGCTATCCCTAGCCCTTATACACTCTGTTAAACAGTTTATTTTTAAATTATGCAATATATAAAATTAAAATCACATGTTTATAGTTATGAAATAAATGGTCTGTTTTTAATTAATGCTAGCCGTTGAAAAGGGGATAGAGCCTGGGTCACCAACCAGTAGATCACGATCTACCGGTAGATCTTGGGCTCTAAGAGTAGCTCTTGAGCCCTCTCTGAACTGTGCACCTGCGCAGTACATTTACATTAGATTTCCTCATTTGAGGAGCAGTTACTCACCGAGCAACAACACAGGTGAGTAGCTGCGAGGAATGGTGGGAGGTCAGAAGGGCTGAAACATCCCAGCCAGCTGACTGTGGGTTTTCAGCGGAAAGAGGCTTCTCCTCTGCGCCTGCCCACGTGGAGCTTGGTGCACCCTGGCTGAGTGCCATGGCCAGCTTGGCCAGGCAGCCACTTCTCTTCCCTCCAGCCCACCTGCCCTGCGCTCAGCCCAGGGAGGCTGCGTCTAGCTCAAGCTGTGCTGGAGCAAGCTTCCTGGGCTGAGCGCAGGGCAGCCAGGCGGGAGGGAAGAGAAGTGGCTGCCCGGCCAGCTGGCCATGGCACTCAGCCAGGGTACACCAAGCTCCACGTGGGCAGGTGCAGAGGAGAAGCCACCTGTGATGGGGTGGGACCCGCCTATCCTCCCAAAGTGGGTCCACCCCGCACTGACCCCGCAATTGCCCCATCTACCGTCCCGCCCCTTCCTTGAAGGCCCGCCCTCTCTATTCTCTTCTGTCCATCACTTGCTATCCCTAGCCCTTATACACTCTGTTAAACAGTTTATTTTTAAATTATGCAATATATAAAATTAAAATCTCACTCTTGGGGACAGCACGGCGGGAACTGACCGCTTGCAGGCGGTGTAGCACCGCCGCTCGTCAGCTGGGCAGCGGGACAGCTGGCGTTGCTAGGCAACGCGCACCGCATGAGCGGGGAGTAATGGCGGCCGGAAGTGACGTCCCGGCGCGGGGGTGACGTCAGACGCCCAGGGAGCTAGGCCGGAGGGGGAATAAAAACACCCCGGTGAGTACCCGGTGGGGGAGGGGAGAAGGAAGAAGAGATAGAGGAGCTCGGAGCACAGGGCGACGGGAGACGGGAATTTAAGTAGGCAGGGTGGAAGAAGCCCAGGGCAGGGCACGGAGCCGGCGCACCGGTGGGTTAAGGGGACATACCCCTCCGGTGGGACAGGTCCAAGAGACCCTGTCCTTAGGGCCCTGGGCTGGGGTCTGGGAGTGAGGGTGGGCCCAGACCCCCCACCCTGCGTACCCAGGGCGTAACTAGTGCGAATAACTGCTGTTAACTGCAAATACGCAGTTCAAAAGGACTACAGAAGGAAGGAGGTGTGACTGAACCCCCACACCATTGATCAGCTGGAGTGAGGGACAGCATCTTTCAGCTGAAAGCCACAGTCAGCTGGCTGGGGTGTTTCAGCCCTCCCGACCTCCCAGCTCTCACCATTCCTCGCAGCTACTCACCTGTGTTGTTGCTCAGTGAGTAGCTGCTCCTCAAATGAGGAAATCTAATGTAACAGACACGCAGTTCAGAGAGGGCTCAAGAGTTACTCTTAGAGCCCCTGAGATCTACCGGTAGATCACGATCTACTGGTTGGTGACCACGGCTTTAACGCAAGAGTTCTTGCGTTAAAGTATTTGCACAAGAGAACGTCTACACTGGCACGTGCCTTTGCGCAAGAGATGTGCTTTTGCACAAGAGCATCCGTGCCAGTGTAGATGCTCTCTTGCACAAGAAAGCTCCAATGGCCATTTTAGCCATCGGGCTTTCTTGCACAAGAAATTCATGTTGCCTGTCTACACTGGCCTCTTGCGCAAGAACAGTTGCGCAAAGAGGGCTTATTCCTGAGCAGGAACATCGTAGTTCTTGCGCAAGAAGCACTGATTTCACACATTAGAACGCCAGTGTACTTGCACAAGAACTCTCAGCCAATGTAGACAGGCAGCATGTTTTTGTGCAAAAGCAGCTGCTTTGGCGCAAGATCGCGCCAATGTAGACACAGCCTAAGAGTTAAAATGGGACGAATTAAGACACTATCAGAAGTACAGGTGCTTCTTTGCTCAAGTTGGTATTATTAACTCCTCATTTCATAGCCAATAAATTTGTTTATTAATTTAAAAAGTATACCTATCTTACTAAATAAATACGTAAAAGTTTAACAAGGGTAGGTCTTGTGGGCAAGTTTTTAATAAACAGAAAATGGAATTTCATAATAGATTATTGGGAATCATAGTACTCCATAGGTCCCCCCCTCCCTGCACTGTTTAACAACAGTGTGCTAGTACTATTACAAACTATAGGTGGGAATGCTCATGTTATAAATATTTATTTTTAATAAAAGCGTGGACAGGAAGAAATAGCTTCTTCATTGTGTTAGGGAATGGTGTTTTAACTTCCTAGGATGAGTCTACACTGTGGTTTTTGTGTAACTCAAACTCATGTAGTACCAATGAATCACCACCAGTACGAACATCTGTGGGAGTACTATCCCTAGAGACCTGTCTCTACATCTATGTAGAGTTGATACTGCAAATTGCAGTGTCGCTACAAACTGTAGTGAATCCAGGTCATAATTCTCACCCGCCCCTCCTCCCCCTCACGTAAATCATCTGCAGTCGGCATAAATGTCCTGTAGCTGATTTTTAAAAGTATTTTATTTAGCATGCTAAAACTCACGAATGGAATGTGTCATTGCTTTGCTGTTCACAGAAGATTCCTGCACAGTCCTTGTCCTTCTCTTCCTTTTCAGTAACTCCTTTGTCATACAGTTGGGTCAATCCAATTGTGAATGAGAACAAGACAAGAAGAAACATCCCTAGGAATTTTCCAAAGTCTTGCAACATCTGCCCCATTGAAATCTGTGGAACATATTACCAATTTCCATTAACAATGAAATATTCATCACTTACCAATATTTCTCTGCTCAGTCATCAGAAAAAATATTGTGAAGACGATATTTTTAAATGTAATGTCAATATCACTGTATCAGAATTCAGGACTGTAGCCAAGAAGAGACAATATCAGGTATATTTAGGCTACCAAGGTGAAATATGAACACCATTTTAACACCTGGCCAAAAGGCCTCAGCTTGTTTTTAGGCCTGATTTGAGTAGCTATTTGAGGAAGGACTCTAAGTCACACGATGAAATAGTCACAGGAATAGATGTGTTAAACTGCTAATATTTAGAAAAATATATATGGCAAATGTTCCAGATGAAGCTGCTCAGAGTATTATGAGGATTTTTTCAAAGTGTTAACAAGCTGTCCAGTGTCCAAGTAACATATGTACATGTTAACAATTTTAAGTGGGAATTAACAAGTAAACCTATGAAAAGTGAAGCATCCCAAAAGTAGTGGGGTAGGGTAGTTCAAATAAGGAAAAAAGGTTGAAAGATTCAGAAATATGTCTGAGTTCAGTGGGAGTCAGCATAAACTACATTGCAAAATTTTTATTCTGGCCTGCATGCCTTGGAAGACACTAGGATGACATCTATTGTTAACAATAGCGTCGATGATGATGAGAAAGATAATTACAATGATTCAGGGATCTCCAGCAAGAGACAAACAGGAGGGCTATCTGCCTCAAATATCTACAATATAATGGACAGCACTCTGACATAGGGATGTTAATGGTTAAGCCGTAAGCCTCACCCTTTACATCCCTACTCAGATATCCACCCCAAATGCATAGTGTGGCAAGGGCCCCTCTTACCCAAGCCACCACTGCGCAGGACTCTCATTCTTAACCCCAGAGTTTGGGTTTTGCAGCAGGTCTCTGTGGTAGGGAGCCCAATCACGCCTCCTCAGACTCCCTCCCTAGTTGCCTCCACCTAACACTATTACAGATTGTTCTCTCAAACTCCTTCCTCTCTGTCTCTCCACCACCTCCCTTCCGTCCGTCCTCTCACGTTCCTCCCCAGCTTCCAACTGCAGAGGCTTTTAAAGCCCCTCACCCAGCAGAGAAGGCAGCTGGCCCCAATCTGCCTGAGCCAGCTCTCTCCCAGCTGCCTCTAATTGGCCTGGAGTTCTCTGCTTCTCCTTACAGGTTTTTTTACCCTTTGGGGCGGTCTTTTTCCCCTCTCTGCAGCAGCTCCATGGCCTGACCCTGCCACAATAGCTAAACTCATAGGCTGTGTCTAGACTGCATCCCTTTTCCGTAAAAGGGATGCAAATTAGACACAGCGCAATTGCAAATGAGGCAGGGATTTAAATCCCCCCCGCTTCATTTGCATGAAAATGGCTGGCGCGTTTTTTTCGCTCAGAGCTTTGCCGGAAAAAAGCGCCAGTCTAGACGCGGATCTTTCAGAAAATAAAGCCTTTCCCGAAAGATCCCTTATTTTAAGAGGAATAAGGGATCTTTCTTAAAAGGCTTTATTTTCTGAAAGATCCGCGTCTAGACTGGC